AATCTTCATTTCGCTCTTTTATCCAAATGGGCAACCAAAAGACAGTAACCAAAACCGGCGCACGAAAGTGCATGGTTAATGGATGTAAAACTGAAACTGAAACTATATAATGCTAGCGTATACTAGCTGCGGGGAGCCAGCCCGGAAAGTTTAATTGGTTAGTGTCGAATCAACAGCCCCCCGAGACGGGCTTCGAATGGGTATGGACACGGTTGATGACAACGATGCCTGACAACGATGAAACAGCTGTACAAACGTCTAAAGGAGTTTCGGTGATCAAGGACACGATCAATTTGTGTGACGAATACACTTTCGTAAGGAAACCACATCCCCTGAACCATTTTAACACCAAGCCTAACCCAGCGGGGCCTTATGCAGTTCACCACTGCAAGTTCCGGGGCCTAGGTTGGCGGTATACATTAATTAACAGCAGGTTTTCGTAACTATGGGGTCCACCCCATCTACAATTCACCACACAAATATGAGTAACAAAAACATAAAATGGCGAAAAGAACATCTCGTTTTTATCCAGGCCACCAGTGAAGAGACAGATTCCTGCAATGAATCACTGATTCCTAGTCGTTTGATTATGTACAAACAAAAGTCCACCTGTACACATCTCCAGATAGAACAACTGTACAACAAAAACCGACACCTCCGAACTTCATATGACATACCTCTTCAACCGACCCGTTTGCTGCGTTCTTCTCACCGATACCTAAGGCTGTATCCGCCGAACCGAGAACTTGCACGGTAAGTTTAAGTTTGGCGTCTGCACGCGCTAGAATTGCCTCTTCTACCGTGTTCCTCCCGACCAAGCGAATGATACGAACCGGCCTGTGGAAAACGAACACAGAAAAGAGGGTTAAAAATTCAAAATGTCTATTTCATCGTGTTTGAAACCCGTCCAAATATGATACTCTTAGTTAAACGGTTACTTGAATGAGAAAGGCAAAAGTCGTCCTGAAAATACACCTATTTCTTTTGAAAATCGAAGTCAATCAATAAAAAACCACCGAGGATTTCAGAGAATTCGTGGGGTGAGACTTTGCATGAGTACCGAGTCTGCTCAATCTTCTGGTAACTTGGCCTTAATGTTGGTCATCTAGCATATTTTTGAGAACTGCATGATCAGGTCATTACGCGAGACAGTATTTTGTTCTCATTATTGACCACGTTGAAAAATAAATGTTTCGTAGGCATTCCGGATTGATTTTTTCGAAAAACTTGGGCGTTGCGATCGCAGAAACAAAATTCTTACCTATCTGAATATTGTACAAAGGCCACTAGCAGAAGCAATTTTCGCTTCCGTTAATGAATAGCATCTCAGTCAGTTTACATTCTAACTGTGACAAAGGGGAAAGTCCTATACTAACTCATTGCAAACTGGCATACATAATCATCTTTCTCCTAAGGCTTTAGCACTGCTGTAAATGAGATTGTCGTCATTTCTATTCTAGTGTAACAGTTAACATTTTAGTTTCAGCTCACAAAACCATTAACCATGTACTTTCGTGTGCCAGGTTTGGTTGCCGTCTTTTGGCTGCACATTTGTATGGAGCAG